AAGCAAAAAAGGTTTTGCCATTAGCGCTAATTTAATTTAGGATATAAATCAAAAAACACACATAGTGCCCCCCTGCAAACATTTCTGATACATTGCTAGCATCTGACCAATGAGTCAGACCATTTATTGGGAAGGAAATGACCCTTCTTATATCTTGTCTCATGAATGAACTCCAATCATTTATAGTAGAGGTTCCAGCAGCAGCGTCATTCCTTAAAGAGAATTCATCACTATGAATACATCGAAATCATGATAATAGGCCGCTCTCAGTGCAAGAACAACAAGTGTGGTTAATGAATAACTCATAAGTGCTCAGTTTGATTTATAATTAATCAAGCCAGAAAAAGGTCAGATCTGGTTTCAGATGAAGGTAACACTATAAGGACCAGAGTCATCCAGCATTACAGATATATTTACATGCCACACTCGAAGGTACAATGCTGCTCTACCATCATTTGGAAATACACGCTGCACATTGCACAATATATATTTTAAAACAATTGTGTACATATGTCAATCGCTGGTGAGAAGCTGGACTTCTATTGTAATCTTTGTAACAAAAGCGTGCGCCTAATAGTATAAGTGGTACCTCGGTTCACGAACTTAAAGTGACATTAAAGTCAAAAATGTTTTCCCTCCCCGTGCCGGACAGAGCAGGGACGAGTCAGCGGCGCCCGGAGACTGCCAGATGACCCCGCTCGGAGCGCCGGCCACCGGAGCAGCAGTGACGTGACACTCGGCGAGGTAAGTAAGAAGAAACCTGACCACTGAGACGCTGACTCGAGTATAAGCCGAGGGGGGCACTTTTCAGCAAAAAAAAAATGGGCTGAAAAACTCGGCTTATACTCGAGTATATACGGTACCTTGCCTCTCTGCTCGTCTCCCGGCCGAAAATCCGAATTGCGCATGTGCCCGCCCCAAGATGCTTTGCGGCTGCCGGAGCAGTTTCGGATTCTCGGGCAGGAGTGCGCGGTGAAAACAGGGTAAGTTTAAACCGCTGTTAAAGCGTTTTTTGTTTAAAAAAAAAAAAAAAAAAACTGTTTGCCTATATCTACTGCTCGCTAGCCTTATATATGCAAAAAACCGGAGGGTTTAGAAACCCTTTAATTTGTTCCACGATTCTGGTCGCGCACCGAATCAAACTGTTATCAGACCGCGATCTCGATTAGAGGAATTTCCTCTGACCGGCAGTGGGGCGTGGGAACATGGAACCGGCTCCCAGGCCAACCAGAAAGACGGGTCGCGTGTAATGACTCTCGGCCCAGCGTTCCTCATTGGCTTCCTGCTACAAGAAGTACCGGTAAAAAGATAAATATCGGTACTAGTACCAGATACCAAAAAACGGTATCGGTGCATCCCTAATTAATACATCTCTAAGGGGCATATTTACTTAGTCAACCAAGCAAAGCAAGCACCTTAATCCGACATACCCGTTTGCAATAAGCTGTACAGCAAAGCTCACAGTGGCAGAAGGAGAAGCAGCACAGAGTCAGTAGGCTGTGCTGCAGTGCTCGGGTTCTAACAATAAACATACTGAAAGAAAGAGAGCTCATCAATCTGCTGTATGTCCTTTCATTGTCAAGTCATAGCCTGTAAGTAATACTCAACTGTAGTCGAGAAAAAATAGGTCTCTTGCCCTGCCAGACAGGGCTGTGCGAGTGGCAGTGCTGGGTACATCTCTAGACTGAATGGACAGAAATACAAAATCCTTTTGCAGTTAAAAAAGAATCCCCCATATATGTAACTGAACTGTGTATTTTCCTCAAATGGAGTTCAGCTTTAATCGTAGGACCCAGTCCAAACGTTTTGTATTTAAAGAGACAACCTGTCAGGATGGTAATAATGGAGTCAGCATCTCTAATCAGTATACTCGTTCCATGTCTGGGACCTTACTTTCCATGAGCTTTAAAAGGGGAGCACTTGTCAGGCGTTTCTGAAACCAGTCAAGCATTCCCCTAACTAACAGGTCAAAAAGTGAAATGAATGACATACAGCACTAAACACTGACATGAACGTCGTGAACAACAGAGCGGGACATGGGGGGGTTTATTTGTGGGACATGGGGGGTCATTTGGTTGTACTGTTTTTTTCCCCAGTTGGGGGCAGACCACTGCACAGGACATGCCGTTGAAGGCTAACCAGGGAACTGGATGCTCTCATTCTGGTGTTCTATCAAAGATTGTGACTGGGTTAGAATGTGTGACCAGTCACACATATAATGAAATCCCGCCCACTTTTTCGGCGGTGTATGTGACCGCCGAAAGGTGAAGAATTCCAACGATTTCTCAGCTGTTTCAGGGCAGATCATCATCGCAAATCGTATGTGCAGGAGAACCGATCTGCCCTGGAATAGCTAATCGGTCCTAAAATATGGCACTTGTATCCAACTTTGTGGAATGTGAGATCGCACTCACAAAGTCACATTTTAGGACCGATCAGCTGTTCCAGGGCAGATCGGTTCTCCTGCACATACGATTTGCGATGATGAATTCACCTTTCGGCAGCCACATATTCCACCACCAAAAAACTGGACACAATTACGTTAAAATGTGTGACAACGTCACCGGTCACACATTCTAACGCAGTAACAAACTTTGATAGAACACCGGATCCAACACTGCGAAGACTATTCAGAAAGTAAAAGAGTTACGCCCATTCCCATTAAGGGAGAAATACAGACCCAGCAAGACACACATACACAAGACTGGTATTTCACAAGCCCCAATATAGCAGGAATGGCGAGTGGATTAGTTACCAGCAATATTCATACTTTGTAACCCAAAACAGTATTGCAAATCCAAATGTTCCGAGTTTGGGGTCAGCTCTCTCTTGTCCATGCCTTCATAGAACTGTCTGGACAGCCTGCAATATGCCCCCAACTGCTTCATTGGCTTTTGCTGATATGTGCCCACTCCTCAGATATGACTAACACGCTATTCCCACTGAGAACTCCAGGCTGCCGCAGCCCCGAGACACACTGTAACTGCCGTTGCTAAATCTGCAGTGGAAAGCATTGTTCAAAGCTTGGTGCAAAGTCTGGGTAGCCAAACCTCCCAAACCGTGCGATCATTCAAAAAATGAACACACAAGATAACATGGGAGACTATATATATTTTTGTGACTACTTGGAAGCAAGTTTTTGCAGAAGCGCTTTCAAAATATTAATTGATAGCAATAAAAGCCAAAACATTTTATTTTGTATAGAGTGGGAAAGGGTTACAGCCTCAGTCTGATTTTTATTACGTTATGAGTCTAGACTAGAAGTGAGGGGAGTCTCTCCAGAGGGAGAACGGAGGACATTTTGGTACAGTGGAGAATGTTTTTATCTATGCTTTGCCTTCATGTCCTGGTGGAAACCACTTCCACCACCTCTTGTCTGGTGTCTCTCCAATGGGGTCACAGGCAAAAATAAAAACCTGGCATCATTATTGTAGATCTTCCCCCATTATATTCAAAAATAAATAAGGCTGAAGTTAGGCTTTAAACTGCATCATATTGTAAGGCGCTGTGCAAACTGTTGGCGCTGTATAAATCCTGTATAATAATAATCATCATCAGAGGATATAACCTGTGCTCTGAATGTCACTAATTCTCACCCAGCATGCATTTGGTTGTCCTGCTGACTAAATCCTTTTAAATACCAAAATCCTTCAAGCCTGCAAAAAAAGGAAGCCAGTGTAAGCCCTGACCGCAGGCATCTTCTTTACTCTGAACTGCAGCCTTGCCAACAAACACCAAAGCATGAGAGCGAGGTTGCACATCACAGGTACATGAAGAGTCTACGTGGCTTCCAAGAACCATTGTTGGATGTCTGCTACATCTGCACGGCATTTTGTAAAACTCATATTCTAAAGGTGCCAATACACCTTACAATTATCTGGAGATTTTTGTCTGCGATTGCGTTTTCGTCCAAAAATCTGCCAGTTGATGGGAAGTGCACAACCTCAATTACTGTACAACTGGCAGATTTTTGTCTTTCAAGCAGGGTAGAAAACGTTTGTCTATTTGGAGGAAAATCGACAGGTTAGTGGCGTGGTTGTACAACAAAAATCTCAAGATGAAAACTGCACGTGCTCAAACGAAAATCTGTTCTTTCGATCGATGAAAAGTGGCCAGTTAGTGGTGCTGACAAAGGTTAATTGTGAACTACATTGGTCTGTGCATGGGCTAGTTGAACGAAAATTTAACATTGGTGAGATGTCTGGACAAAAAAAATTGCAGAATGGCTGTAAGGTGTATGGCCACCAATCAACTTCTCTCTTCAGTTTGTTCAGTTAGGTTTTGAAAATGGAAGAGAGAAGCTGATTGGTTGTCATGGGCAATAAATTCCCCTATGTTTGCTAGATAAAATTGACAGTGAACACATTGCTTGTACTGGTCCCGCTTTTCCTTACGTCTTTCACATTTAGTAGATTATTAAGCTAATAATAAACAAAACCTACAGGACAGAGTCCATACTTTTTTTTTTAAATCCTTACAATTAAAATCAATATTTTTTTTTTTAACAGAGCAGGAAGACATCACCACAGGAGAACTAGTACATTTCCCAGATTCCTGATCATGGTAATTGGTAAATGAACTCATATGAGGAATTATTTACGACCTGTTGATCAGTACTGACATCTACATCTAGATTGCTTCAGTACAAAAATGAAGAGCTTTAAAAAGTGAACCTCCCACCCCCCCTCTCACTTGTCATGTTATAAAACTCCTTGTTGTTTACATTGCCTTCGTACTAGTTCCTCAGTTCTAAAATATCAGAACCTATAAAACCAACATTAATTTCATAATTAATGGCTAACAATATCATTGTATCACCTGCATCATTGCTGCAGTACAAAACTAAAAGTATAGCCTACGTCAGTGAACACAGCCTTGGGTCTCACATTATAGAAGCCGATTTCATTTGAGGAGCAAAAGATAGAACACGATAAGCTACTGTTACGATAAAAGTAAAACGTAGAGAATCCAACCAAAGAAAACAAGAAAACACTCCTCACCATGCCTCCATGGATCTTTGGGTTCTAGGGCACCTGATACAATGTCATCGTCAGATGGAAATGTGACCCTTTTGGGCCCATGTTTACTGCGCCCATTGTCCTCCCCTTGGGTCCCTTCCTCTTGGACCTTACTACCAGAATTTCCTTGGACCGTTCTCTCAGTGGATTGTGTCAACTCCACTGTAGCAATCTTTATTTCCTCTGAATCAGCTGGATTGGAAGGTGCCTCTTGGGTTCTGTGAGGCAAAGTTCCCAAATTCGGATTTATTGGTGAGGAAGCATTGGAAGACCCATCTTCAGTCTTTTCCTGGTCCCCATCCACAGTGCATTGGCCCCCTGAAGTCTTATCAATATTTGGTTCCTCTTTTGTGCTTTCTGGATGGCCAGAGTCTTTTGTTTCCTCCTTGTCGGTGTGTGTGGGTACCTCAAAAACGTCCTCTGTGCCATCCTCCTGTTTATTGTTTTCATGTGAACATGTCCCATTGCCTGAACCTTCCTCTGCGTAGCAGGAGTCACTACTGTTCTCTGCATGCTCCCGCTGTTTGGGCGACTCCTCAGAGGGCAAATTTGCACTTTCCAAGACTGCAGGCATCTCCATAGTAGCAAGCGCTCTACCCAGCCACGGCAGCCATTTTTAATTCATGCAACATAAAAACGCTGCAAAATATCAAATAGCTCATGTGAATGATTTGCATTAAAAAAAATGAAGAACAAGAAACAACCCGTGGAAACTCCTGTTAATAATATTAGTGCAACGGTATCAAAAAGTTTCAAAATGTCGTCAGCAGCCAAGTACTGCAATCACGGAAACATGCAAACTCATCACAATTTTCCCTTCAACGTGCAGTCTCACTTCTCCATAAAAGTGGAGGGTCAGCCTGGACTGGTCAGAAAACTTGCAGAAGTTTTAACATATGTTTGTGTTATTACACTTGAAGAGATCAGCCAGGGTGAGGTTATAAGTGTTGTTTAAAAGAGGGGAATGAATCACTTCTAGCAGGCTGGTGTGGAATAGTAAAGTGTCACTGCAGCTTCTCACACTTAGTCTCTACATGTCTCAGCCCAGAGTCTGATGGTCCATCTCACCAGGCCTGGCTGTCATAGGCTCTGGTAAGTGAAGAGATGACAAGTCTGTGGTTTCCTGTCCCTCTGTTTCCTGGATAATGCCAGATGGGCTGTCAACGCTGTCTCTATCCCACCTTGTAATGAGATATCAGTCTCTTTCCGATGTCTCTAAGAAAGTTGTCTGCACCCCGATCTGTGATGAGAGGTCTGTCTCTGGTTCATCTCTCTCTTGGATGCCTCTAGATGGGATATCTGCTGCGGTCTCTATCCCGTTTTGGGATAAGATGCCAGTCTCTGCTTCATCTCTCTCTTGGATGTCTCTAGATGGGCTGTCTACTGCTGTCTCTATCCTTCTCTGTGATGAGATGTCACTCTGTCGTTCTTCTCTCTTTCAGATGTCTCCACATGAGCTGTTTGGTGCTGTCTCTATCCCACTCTGTGATGGGATGTCAGTCTCTGGTTCTTCGCTCTTGGATGTCTGCTGCTGTCCCTTGTCTTCTCTGTGATGGGATGTTAGTCTGTAGTTTTTCTCCCTCTTGGATGTCTCCAGTTGGGATCTGTTGTGCTGTCACTACACTTTTCTGTGATGGGATGTCAGTCTGTGGTTCTTCTCCCTCTTGGTTGTCTGCACCCTTCTCTGTGATGGAATGACACTCTCGTTCGTTCTCTCTTGGATGTCTCCAGATGGGTTGTCTGCTGCTGTGTGTACCCCAATCTCTAATGAGATGTCAGTCTGTTTCTCTCTGTCCTGGGTGTCTTCAGTGCTGCAGGTCCCCCATGGTGAGCAGTCTCTTGCTGTCTATGTGACTTCTTACTCTCTCCTGGGTGTCTTCAGTGCTGCAGGTGCCCCATAGTGGGCTGTCTCTAGCTGTCACTCAGTCCCCTCGGTGACTTCCCATGGAGTAGCCTCTGCCCGCTCCCAGCCTTCTCCAGCTTGCTCTCTCGAACAGCCAGCGCCTTCCAGGAATCCCTCAGCTCCGTCTATATGCAGCAGGAATTCCCTACTTGTCTCTTACGCTCCAAGAATGTCTCTCGCTGTCTACCTCAGTTTCCGGGTCACATGTCTCCGTCTCTGCTCCCTGCCAGCCTCTGACGTCGGCTAAACCCTCCGAGCCAACCAGGAAACTCCGCGTCAGCGGCCACCATAGAGTTTGTGGGAGGACCGTAGAATGAACAACGCGTTTACCGTAGAGAGGTGAAGGTGCTATCCAGTGCGAGACCGCAGCGATGAGATCCAGAGAACCATAGAGAGTGGGGGATTGAGGGATAGATGGGTGGTAGATATCACAGAGTGGATGAGTAATAGTCATGGGAACATGGTATGATGCATTTGTGTAAGATGGTTGTCACAAACTTGGCAGCTGCTCCAGGTTCACATTTTTATGTTTTGTATCAGGAAATGGGCCATTGTTAGTGTGACCATCTTTACAATCTTACTGTGTTTTTTGTATGTTATGTATTGGGATTAAAATGTTATCTTGTATTTTCCATAAAATAGACCCTTTTTGTTTGACCAGCTTTGAATTTTTACTGTGTTTATTGTATATTTGTCTTATTTATTAATAATCATGTTATTTATTAATAATCATTGGGTACATAGCCATCATTGCACATTGGGTACTGAGACATGATTGCACATTGGGTACATAGCTATAACTACAGTTGTGTACATAGCCATGATTGCACATTGGGTACATAGCTATAACTACAGTTGTGTACATAGCCATGATTGCACATTGGGTACATAGCTATAACTACAGTTGTGTACATAGCCATGATTGCACATTGGGTACATAGCTATAACTACAGTTGTGTACATAGCCATGATTGCACATTGGGTACATAGCTATAACTACAGTTGTGTACATAGCCATGATTGCACATTGGGTACATATCCTTGTTTACACATTGGGTACATATCCTTGTTCACACATTGGGTACATACCCATGATTACACATTGGGTGCACAGCCTTCGATTCCACATTGGGAACATTGTCCTGATTGCACGTTGTGAACATTGCCATGATTCCACATTGGGTACATAGCGATGATTGCACATTGGGTACATATCCTTGTTTACACATTGGGTACATATCCTTGTTTACACATTGGGTACATATCCTTGTTCACACATTGGGTACATACCCATGATTACACATTGGGTGCACAGCCTCGATTCCACATTGGGAACATTGTCCTGATTGCACGTTGTGAACATTGCCATGATTACACATTGGGCACATAGTCATGATTGGCTCATATTACTGACCTTCCCTCCAAGTCTGGGTGCTGCTGTACTAGAGATTAGAGAAAACTGATCAGACAAATTCAGATACTGTATGTACATTTTATTTACATAGTACATAAAAATACCAATTTAAAACACTTTGGCTTTTGTCCAACAATACACAACAAAATAAATCCCATTATTTTTTTTATTTTTTTTGGGGGGGGGGGCAATTTACAACTAGGCAATGAGCTTCCATACGAATTGGAAAGTGGTGCAGGTGCTTCATCTGATGCACTATAATTAATTTTTTAGCCCCATAGACTTCAGGTAACATGTGTTTTCGCACATTTGTAAGTAATGACAACAAGCCCCACCTCCTGGCAGCCTATACTTTATTTCACTTGCAATGGCCAAAATAAAAATGCAAAACTTATGAAAAATGTGCTATAATAAAACATGAAAATGGAGATGCACAAGTGGGAACAGAGACTTATGAAGCAACAAAACGGCCATACTGCTGTTAAAAAAAACAACTGCGTATTTATAAATCACAGCTGGGAGGGGATCCTGATCATGTGACCTGGCAAAGTCAATCATGGAGCTCTCTATGTTGCATTAAAGAAATGTTTTTTTAATCTGCTGTGTTATCTTTGTGGGAGAGCTCTCTGCACAGAAGGCGTATTATCCACCCTTCTCTTCCCTTATCTCTTTATAGAGCCATTTGTATTTTGTGAATGGTTGACATAATGCAAAGCATCCTTTCAATGAACAAGAGAAAGGGTGAAGAAACAACAGGACAGCTTCTGTATATGAGAGCCACAGCTCTCCTGTTGCAATGGCAGAAGTAAAGCATGAGCTATTCTTCCCGGCATCAATTCAGTTGTGAATAGTCAAGAAAGGGCAGCAATCCAGGAGACAGCACACACCTATTCACAATTAACCATTTTGTTAACCCTTATTCAAGATAGGGGTCTGGTATCGCTTTTAAGGGAGACCTCTTTTTACTTCCGAACCCCTACTTTTACATCAAGAGCCCCTTTTTACATCAAGAGCTCCCCTTCACATCTGAATTTTGAGGCACCCCAAAGGAAGCCATGAGGCAACCTGCACCTACTACAGTGTTTTACGGAATCCCCATGGCCCTACCAGGTATAAAATATGCACACTTACATTGGACCGCTGTACTATTGTAAAAATACATAAATATTCACACCTGGAGTTCAGCTTTAAATACAGTAAACTTAATCGAGAAAGAACAATCCATAAATTACACCCTGTATAAATGTTCCATGGACCTTGTACCACTAATACATGTTATCAGTTTCAATGCAGAGGAAAGAGAGTGGCAGATTTGTATTTAAACCCCTTAGGATCATATTGCTGGGGGAAATATCCAAAAGACATTCCTCTGTAAAAGCAAAGCATTATGATCGCCCCCACATGGGGGAACTCAAAATCTGATGCTTTGCCTGCATGAAGTCTACAGCAACTAGTCTTTGTCAATAAGGTGTCCATTCCTGTCATTCTCCAATGAAATCCGGATGCAACTCCGATGCTTCTGGAATCTGCATTTAAAATTCTTCATAGTTTTCCTTACATATACCATGGAGAAGGGACATTTCAAGTGATACAGTTGTGTGAAAAAGTGTTAGCCCCCCCTTCCTGATTTTTCATTGTTTTGCACGTTTGTCACACTTTAATGTTTCAGATCATCAAACAAATTTAAATATTAGTCAAAGATAACACACGTAAACACAACATGCAGTTTTTAAAGGAAGGTTTTTATTATTAAGGGAAAACAAAATCCAAATCCACATGGCCCTGTGTGAAAAAGTGTTTGCACCCCCCTCCCCCCCTGTTAAAACATAACTTAACTCTAGTTTATCACACCTGAGTTCAATTTCTCTAGCCACACCCAGGCCTGATTTCTGCCACACCTGTTCGCAATCAAGAAATCACTTAAATAAGACTTGACTGACAAAGTGAAGTAGACCAAATGAGCCTGTAAAGCTACACATCATGCCGAGATCCAAAGAAATCCAGGAACAAATGAGAAAGAAAGTAATTGAGATCTATCAGTCTGGAAAAGGTTATAAAACCATTTCTAAAGCTTTGGGACTCCAGCGAACCACAGTGAGAGCCATTATCCACAAATGGCGAAAACATGGAACAGTGGTGAACCTTCCCAGGAGTGGGCGGCCAACCAAACTTACCCCACAAGCGCAGCGACGACTTATCCAAGAGGTCACAAAAGACCCCACAACAACATCCAAAGAACTGCAGGCCTCACTTGCCTCAGTTCAGGTCGGTGTTCATGACTCCACCATAAGAAAGAGACTGGGCAAAAATGGCCTGCATGGCAGAGTTCCAAGACAAAAACCGCTGCTGAGCAAAAAGAACATAAAAGCTTGTCTCCGTTATGCCAGAAACCATCTTGATGATCCCCAAGACTTTTGGGAAAATACTCTGTGGACTGACGAGAGAAAAGTTGAACTTTTTGGAAGGTGTGTTTCTGTAAGGTGTCCGTCCGGTTGTGCTCCAGCCTGGAGCGCAGCGCCTGTGTAACCATGACGGTGCTCGCGGCTTGCCCTCCAGGCTGGAACACAGATGCCGCCGGGCCGCCTAGTGGCTCCGCACACTCACACACTGGCCGATAAATACGAGCCAGGAGCAGCACAGGGTGTTTCACTAATGGAGTGTGCACCCTGTCAGCTCCATTCACCACGAGGACACAATCCCTAACCGGCTGGAGCTCTGAGGACCCAGGAGGAATCCCCACAAACAACCACCAGCTCCCACACTGCAGGTTCTCTCCTCAGGACTTCTAACTGCAAGTATTTAGCCTTCCAATAGGCTTTACATTGACTGTGGAGATTAGAGTGGAAGGAACTCCCGGTGGTGACTGTTGGTATTGCAGTGCTGTGTTAACCTGAATATATTGCAATTAACTGCTACTCATGTGAAACTTAAACTAAACCCCTCAAAACTGAGAGACTGTCGGTACTACAGGGTTGTTCAACCGTGCTTGTGTTATATACATAGAACTGCTACTCATATATGCCTGAACCAAACTATCGGATGCAAGCGTATGCCTGTGGGAAGTAATGCACTCATGTATTAACCACTGATTGTACAAACCTGAAAAAATAACTACTACTTGGAGTAATCACAAGTGTATCAACCATTAGCAGGGACTCTTCCATATATAAATATATATACTACTGAATACTCCTAAACTACACTCAGTATCACAGTTGAAATATTTTTCTATTGTATATGCTTTCTCTCTTTGAGGATGGCATACGTTATCACTGATTATTGCATTACTCACATTGCAATTAAATAATTTATTATAATCTTTACAATTCTAAATGGTTTGTCTCTTGGATCTGCAATTATCAGGAGGTCACCTATAATTCTATTGCACTTGTATACATGTGAAGATGGGTTTGCAGTAAAGAGCTATATTTTACAAGAAGTGCTGGCCTTTCTTCAAGATATCCTACCGACGGAGATGCAATACTGGTAAAAAAACAATGGTAACCTTTCCCCGCTCTATCCAAAACTAAAATGTATTGATTGGAGTTTCACTTTGAATTAAAGTGACACTAAACTTAGAAGATAAATCTTAAAAATGCATTTAAGTACCTTTTATGTTAACAAAAATGTACCCTATTTGTGTATCACTCGGCTGTAGATCCCCAAATCATCTCCGAATGGGTGCTGACACTGTCCTTCCTTCTGGAGGGTGGCTACTTTTGTGCCCCATGGTCCCTGTGTGTGTTGTAAAGTAGCCACCACTCCAAGCTCACTCCTGTGATGGACTACAAGCTGAATACAAATTAGTAAACTAAACATGAAATTGAAGTCCATCATAGAAGCGAGCTTGGAGCGGTGGGTACTTTATAACACGCACAGGGACCATGGGGCACAAAAGTAGCCACCCTCCAGAAGGAAGGACAGTGTCAGCACCAATTCAGAGATGATTTGAGGATCTACAGCTGAGTGATACACAAATAAGATACATTTTTGTTAATAATTATAGGGTTTCTAAAGCCTCCATTTTTTTGCATATATCTAATGCTAGCAAGCAGTAGATATATGCAAAAAGTTAAAAAAAAAAACACTTTAACAGCGTTTTAAACTTACCCAGTCTTTGCCGCGTGCTCCCGTCAGAAAATCCGAAACTGCTCGGGCGGGCGCATGCGCAGTTCAGATTTTCGGCCGGGAGACGAGGAGAGACGCAAGGTAAGTCTATGGACGCGTGCACCCGCATGCAGACACCATGGGACAGGAAGTACCAGCAAGGACAGAGGAGTCATCGCTGGATTGGAGACCCGCCGCACCGCTGGAGGGACAGATGAAAACATCAGGAAAGAAGAAGAAGATCGGATTAAGATACATAATTTAAGGTGGGTGCTAACATTAACATTGGGGGGAGGGAAAAACATTTGACTTTAATGTCACTTTAAGGTACTTGAATGCATTTAAAGATTTAACTCCTAAATTTGTGTCACTTTAGATGTTTTTTTGTTTTTGTTTATTAGTGTGATCATTGCTACATCAATATAATAGTTATGCGCATGCTCCTTTCGAATGCTGATACAAATATTTGTGCTGATACATTGATTACAAAAAACAAAAGTGCTAATTTTCAGACACTGAAGATAAAGCTACAGAAGAGAGGATGTCTATGTCCTCCTTCTTTCTCCTTTGTAATGGTTGTAGCAAATGGGCAAGACTGGGAACATACTGATACAGACATCTGATAGAGAAGTCATTGATATACTGTAAAAAGCTGCTAAAAGATTCATACCACCAACCTCCACTCCAAAAACAAGCCTAGGACGCAGGACAGCTCTGAATTTCTGACAATTTCAACAGGTATTTTTTTCACTTATAAAACAGAGATAACAAAACACTTTCAATGGTATGTTTAACAGACCAAAAGGTAGCAAATAAGATAATTGTTAAAATGTATTCTATTGTTTATCCTGAAACAAAATAGGTAAGTTCAATAGTTAAACAAAATAGTGTGTGTGCGCAGCCAAAACTTTTGTTTTTCTTTTGTTTTTCTTTTGTTTTGGATAGGCAGGAAAATGGTTAAGAGCTCTTTCATTTGACCAGAGACCAATGCTGAGGGTAATCACCCCAATGGGGACACAGAAATCAATACAAGCCTGACATGGGCTTTAACCCTTTCATATTCTATCAACATTAAAAAACAAAGTTTTGGTTTTAAATACACTTTAATGGCGTATATTTCGAAAAGTAAACAGCTTTGACATGAAGAAATATAGGACATTTTCACTGGATTTGTTTTACAGAGCAAAGCAGTAACATTCGTAGTAACATTGTACATTTTATGATATGATAGAGACAGGTGTATCATACCATTGATGTATTATATCTTTTTAAAATGATAAAAGTATATAAAATACCATACTATACATTTCTTGCTCATTACATTCAATACATATTGAGTCATACAATAGAGGCATGATAGATAAAGAAGCCTTCAGCGTTTTTTAGTGCTTAGACTGCACATTTCCCTAACGTGAACCTTTGCCCAGATTATGCACACTAAAGTATCCACATATTCTGAACTAGCAGTAAAAGATCTTTAAAACAAGCTGTCATTCATCTCTGTCACTATTTTAGAAATTAATTTTCAAAACTCACAACAGAGGCACAAAAATTTATTTATTCCCTGAGGACAATAGATCTTGGCAGCCTTCCTGCCCTCTAATGCAAATAGACAGCAGGTGTTTCTAAGCTGTTGGGAACCAACTAAAACCAGAATTTAGAGTCTTTGTTGTGATCTTTGAGGATCTCTGAGAATTAATTACATCACATTACAAGCCGCTAAATAGGTGAGTGAAAACATGTTTAAAAGTTCTTATACTGCTTGTTAGGAATATGGAAATATTTTAGTGTTCATGTCCATAGTCTGTTGCACTTTAAAGGCTATTAATAATAGCTGTCCTAAGCAAATATTCTGCTGTGTTTCTGAACGGTTCTAAGTTGTTCAAGTCTGGAACTCATGCTACATATTTTGGGGTACATGGCGGTAACAGTCATGTCTTCACCTGGACCTATTCAGGCTTGGTTACTCTATCGGTTACTCTATGCTTAGAATGTCATTCCTGGAAAAATAATGTCCATGATGACTGTGAATAGCAGCATGCAGCAGTTTTAATAGTTTATATAGTCCAAGTCACTGCTGCTGACTTGGAGTCCTTCCAGCTGATCTGTATGTTGCTGGCCTATTGATGTTTACACCTTTAAGTGAAATATTAGTTAAAGATATAACATTTGTTAACGGTAAAAAAGAGACATACAGGGTTATTGACAAAAGGGTGAAGAGTTTGGAGAAGGCAGGAGAAGTGAACAATCTAGGCACAAATAGCTGATTTGGAAAAATTCTCCAATTCAGTTCACTTTCCAGTTCAGCTATGTTGTCCTAGATTGTTCACTTCTCCTGCCTTCTCAAACTCTTCACCCTTTTGTGAATACTCTGAAAGTTTTGGCACATGCATAAAGGATCTTTATTTGATTAATTTGACTGAAATTTTCAAAACTCTTTGGACTCAGCAGAAAATAATGGTCACCTTTTAAAAAGAAATTATCCTTAGTATGTGTGTTAGCTTTGTGAATTAAGCCTCATGTGTCGGTAATATTGACTGTTCCGGGAAGTCTTTAATTTGGCTTTGCATTTCATAGGTGGATTCTTCTTCTTTCTTTTGCACGACTATAAATTTCCCAGATAGCTCCTTTAATTGGTTGTCCTCTATACACTCATCCATGGCTTTCTTCTGAGTCTGTATTATGCATTCATTGTCATCTTTTTGCATTTGTGTTATTTGTGTTAATAGTTCACCATTATAGCTATCCTGAGAAAGCTCTATTCCACTTCTGAGTGTCTCATTTACACATTTGCATTCCCTGCAATCACACTGTGTACCGCACATCTCTGAAGTTGGTGTTGTGTGGATGTTCATTGTAGGTTCTTCTGCCACACCTTCAAACACTTTTTCCTGCATTCCCCTCATGGATCCTTCTCCAATGTCTTCATATACTTCTAAATTAAACCAGCTTGCCTTTTTCCAAGTTGTCCTGTCAATTTCCCTTTTTTCTGCTTCTTTAGAACAGTCAGGATCTCCTTCCCCAACTGTTTCCTTTTTGTCTTTCCCATCGTTGTTACATTCAGCTTCCTTCTCTGTTTTATTGTTAGAATCTTCTGTGTCCTTCCAGTCATTTTGAAGGCTATTGATTCCACGTAGAAGGCCCATTTTGTTCTTCATAGAAGAATCCAAGTTAATGGTGCACTTTATAAGTCTTCTGGATTCCTCCACTGTAAAAGGAAAGTCTTTAGAAAGGAACCTCTGGAAAATCTCTGGATCTCCATCCAAGTCCAAAAGGTTTTTTAAACCAGCCTTCATGGCAAACAGTTCCTTGCTGTACTGCTTAAACACATCCCAGAGTAGGGAATTGCTAAACCCTTCCTTTGAGCCTTGTTGTTCTTCATCTTCCAGACACTGAAGAATCCAACTTAGCCTGCAGGGCCACTGATTACAGAGGACAACCCAAGCAGCTACAGATTTAGAGGACAATTTGCCCCATGGTATTTTACTCAGCATCATCAGGTGGACCATGACTGGGATCGCATTGACAATTCGTTTCATTTGACATATGCTATCAGGAATGTATTCATGGAGAACTTCACGTTCACTGTACAGGGCATAAAACGCCTCTTGAATACAGTATGCAGGTTGATATATTGGCATACCTATCTCTGCCTCATCATCTTCTGAGAGCTCTTCTCTCAACAATTTCATGGACTCAGTGATACCAGTTTTAGTACCCCGATTAGCATCATTTCGACAAGGCCAATCAATAAGATCCTCAGTTCTCTGAACAGCCTTTCTCAGAAGTTGCAGCTTAGTTTTCTTGCCAAGAGATGGCACAGAGAATGGCAGAGTAACAGTGCGATTTAAAAACATGTAGCCATTGTCTGCCATGCCTTTCAAGGAGCCTGCACTCTCCAAGCAGGTAACAATAATACTAGGGTCAACTACTAATATAGATATGAATGGAGATCTTTGGTCAGACAAAAGAGTGTTCATGGCGTCCAGTACCCCAACCACTTTGTCTGGTGCACAAAGTTCCAAGCTAGTGATTTGCAGAACCACTCTGATTTTTTGCTTCTGGAAAATCTCCATGTATTGAACCATTTGGGTTATTAGTTCTACCTCCTTTTTCACTTCATTCATAAATCCCATTTGGGAACTGAATTTTTGGCTATTGACTAAACGTTCAATCTTCTGCTTCTGACTAATTAAGACACTTTTGCATATTTTATATAATGTCATGGCGATGCCTGAACCTGCAAGAACAGTAGCCAGACTTCCAAAAACAGTGCTGACTTTCTCTTTACCTTCATGGCTGCTGGAGTTTATAGGCACAGTTAAAAGGAGCAAACCTATGAGAAGTAAAATAAAAGTAACTACCAAAACGATACAAAAGGTCCTTTTAAACGTCCATTCCTTGACATCTTCTTCAAGATTCCTCTTGGGGGCTGAGCCCAGGACGTTAAAGACACTAAGTGGAAGGATTCCAAAGTGTCGTCGTATTTGGTCACAGAGAGTGGTGACGAGGCCGGCCCATAGACGGTCGCTACCTGCATACTGCCAGGCGCTAAAGTGCACAAAAATGAACTGGATGCTTTTACGTTCTAAGTGAGCTGAAGTGACCACAGGACAGTAGAAAAGTAGACGCCAGAGCAAATGCATGAAGCCCAATCCATGAGGTTTAACTGTAGTTTGTTTTAAAGTTGTCTCCTCCTTCTCTGTTATACGTGATGCTTCTTCTCTCATGCACTCTACAAAATATGAATGATGACAGATTACGAAACTAATACCGTATGATTGCAAAATATATCTATGTATTAATTAAATAATATTAATGAGTGGATGAAGCCTTATTATGGCTACTTTTTTATTTTATTTTATTTTAAATATACCAGTGGCTACTTGTTAATTCTGTCCCCTATTCAGGGTCTTGGTGGATTTTCTTCCCATTGACAATGGCTCATCTGACCCATTTTCAGAGGTTCTGTGGGCTCAGTAATGACATCACAGACACATCATAGATATCCAGATTGTGATGTATAAAAAAATAGATGTCGCAACAAAAATATTTATATTAACAAGCCTCAGGATGGAATATAGATTACTGTAATGTAATACAAAATATATTGGTCACAGTGAGCGAGGAGCAATTTATATGTAATAAATACAGCGCTATGTGATTGCTTTTAATTTTTTTGCATTAGTTGTGTTGATTTTAGGATTTTTTAATGTAATAAATACTGATTTGTATGGATCTATTTTGTATAGTGTGCTTTTTAGAAGATATATTTAATAAAATAGTTATACTTCATGTGATCATGCATCAAAAAATACATTATCAAGGCTAGACCCAAACAAAACAGGAAACTAAAGTAAACAAAGTACGATAAAGTCGTCAGGCTAGTGTGTCTGGAAAACCATTGGGCTCTGCACAGCTTTTGGTATGTGGAAAGACATCTAACAACCTTTACTTTCTTAGCAGGCTATACGTTTGCTTTCTTCTTTGATAGTGTTCCCAAGGACTTCTCCACAGCGAGCATTCACTGGGGTCAACAGTCTAAGCTGGGGTGGGACCTATTTGACCCACAATGCTGCAGTTCCACAACTGTTTTGTATAGTGATATGGTTTGGATTTAGAATTTCCATTTTACTGCAAAGATTAATTTAGATTATATTATTTTAACTTACTTGTTATACGATCCAGAAGCATGTAAACTCTGCCCCCAAAAGGGGCGTATAAACCAACGGTGACTGGGGTAGCCACTTGACATAATGCCTTTGACAGACATGCACAATAGATATCATCTTCGGTCTCTTTTCCTGTAAGATAAATTTTGAACTTTAGCTTGGACTTGCATTGTGAGTGGTAGAGAACATCCATTGGGGTTCATTTACTAAAGGACTACTGCATATTTATTTTCAAGATTAATTTATACTTTGTTGACAGAATTTTCACTTAGCTTAATAAATGTGGCAAGGTTGAGCAGACTTCAATCATACAATCATGTACAAACTAAAATCCTTTTTTCTAACATTTTCCTTTCATATAGACTTTGGTATTATTTATTTTATTTATTATTCTGATGTCCTTTGCAAAATTAATTTTCACTTTGATTAACATTTGCTTTGTTTGACGTCATTTACTAAGATCTCCCTTTTAGATCTTGTCTTGAATTGTATTGTGATTGTAATGTCTTCCTTATATTGTAAAGTGCTGTGCAAACTGTTGGCGCTATATAAATCCTGTATAATAAGAATAATGATAAGAAGTAAAAATTCCAATTAAAAGTGAAGCTACTCTGCTGCTAATCAAGATAATTGTGTAACACTGATAAGCAGAGACTATAAATGTAATAAGCAAATACAGATGCCCCCATGTCTAAATACTGTATATAAAAGACACCAAATGCACATAAATATTGTTTATGTGTACAGTTATATGTTGTAGTTTTATAGGAACATATGGGCAGATATGTTTGCTCACTTCATAATCAGACTCTGCTTCCTGCTTTGTAGTGCTAAATGGTGGCTGCACTTGACTGGTAATGTGTCTCAATTCAAAAGTCAACTCCAAACCAAACCAAACCACCTCTGCCTTGTCCTGCAGTGGTTTCAAAAACTCAGGCTGGCAATCAAGCATATCTTTTCTATGGACAGAAAAGGGAGTCTGTCAGTCATCCCAGGAATTGTTAGGAATAGGAATTCCAATAGGAAGAATAACTGTTTCCTTTTCCTCTCCGCTGGGGGTGCAAGACACTGTCCACAGACATGAGCTTAAGATCTCATGTCTATTTGTACCAAAGAAAAGGTATGATGCATGAAAAAAAAGAATATCTATGTGGCTGTCATTTTAGCTCAGCAGGTGCTAATCAAGGATAAGTGTAATAATATACGGATATCCTTCTAGTGACTTGTAACACATATTTCTATTTAATAGTGTTTCTTATTTAATAATAAGGTACAAGCAAGAATGTAAAACTGTGAGTCACATTAACATTACAATAGAACAGCTTTTCTAAACCTCTTTTGAGTCACTACACCCCTTAAAAGTATGCAAAATCTTGAGGCACACCAGTCTAAAATGTAAAAAACGTAAATGTAAAATGTAAGAGATGACATATGCTCCTTACAAAATCCATACCAGATTGGGGGTCTTCTATGGGTTTCAAGGGAAACCGATGCAAAAACAAAAAGGGTGGAGGAGCCCCTTCACATCAGAAGCCCCCCTTCACTTCGGAGTCCTTAAAGGAGAACTATGGGGTTAAGGCTTTTCCCCATAGTTTTCCTTAGGGTAACGGGAGGACACAAACTAGCGTCCTCCCGTCACCCTAGGCTCAGTACAGCTCGCGGTATACTGAGACGCCGCAGCTGAAGCGGATCCCGACAATTATGTTTGGATCCGCCCAGCTGCGTGACTGACAGCTGACTCTGGCTATCTAGAGGCAGAGCTAGCTGTACCCGCCCCCTCCCCCGTCTGTTCCGCCAGTCAGCGCTGGAGGATCGGAGCGGGGAGGGGGGAATCCAGCCCCTCCCCTGTCACAGCAGAGAGCCGTGACAGGATCGAGAGGTGAGCAAACGCCGGTATGTGTTCGCTCACCTCCCGATCTACTAAGCCGACCTGTGACAGTCTCAATGTCACAGGTCGGCTAGAACTATGAGGTAAGTAAAAAGCACTCATCTCATAGTTCTCTGTTAATCCCTCCTTCAATCAAAGTCCTACCACCACATCAGGAGCCTCAGCTTTGGCAGCATGGCAGAGAGTGGGAGGCATAGCAGGGCTAGACGGAGCAGACTTCTGTCCTTTTCTGAATGTATCCCACCCTCCCTGGATAAGCGTCATTTATGTCTATGCTGCTAGTGGCCGGTTTGCCTGCACCATGGAAAGGCATGATGCTGTGTGAAAACGTCAAGGCTCCGCTGAGGAAGCCAAAAGGTACCCTAGTTGAGAAAAGCTGCATAAGAAATTCAAAATATGTGGAGACAAAAATATGATTTTATGCATACTTTGCTGCTTCACACGTGAGTTTTAGGTGCATTGTCACTTCTTTATGTTAGTATAATATTTTTGCTGAATGTTCTTAACCTGTGCATATAGAAACATGGCTGAAATGAAGATGGGAAGATTCTTCTATAGGAAAGTATAATACTAACAATGGTTCAATGGTAGACCTCAAGCTGTTGAGAGGCTGTAATACCAAGGGTGGCTCCTCACTGATAGGGCCTGCCGGACTTGTAGTTCCTTGACAGCTGGTGGGCAATAAGTTTATGCACATTGCTTTATTTATAAAATCAAAATAAAGAGCATGTTACCTTTTGATGCCATCTTGTTTCAGAATTCCCAGCAGCATTACCTTCACTGTACAAATGAACTCATTACTGTAAAACAAGAAACTGAGTATGAATACTGAGAAATCAACCAATTATACAGTTATACTATTTCTAACTAAACACTTTTGAAGTGTGTTTCTAGCTAAAACTTTCTAGTAAATGTTCGAATTGTTTATACCCCTGCCAGTTTTTATTTCTTTATTTATGACATCTGTGCCATATTGGGGAGATCCACCTCACTTTTTGTCTGTGAGATACAACAGGAAGTGAAAAGAAAATCTCTTTAAAGTCAGAGGAAATCCTCTCTTAGTTGTCACCAGAATTGGGGTGCCCCATTTCCCTTTACTTCCCGTTGCAGTGGCAACTGTTAGATTTTGGATAGTTCAGCACCTTCTTTCATGGCAACAGTGGTCACTAGGACAAATAGAAAGTGTGATTTATTTTCACTGGTACACAGAAAAAAAAAAAAAAGATAAAAACCAAGAGGTATGAGCATACTCTTTCCAAAACGGAAAAAAAAAGGTTTTGGCTGGCTATACACTTTAATGCAGTCTCAGCCTAAATGCTTACCTTTTTAAATTTTGGACAGAATGGAAAATATATAAACATCAGATTAAGAACCTATAATCCTAAAAATAAATGTGAAATAATATCGACTCCGGGCCATTTTAATGTCCTTTTAAAAACTTACAGGTAAAATGAAGGTCTCCCGTACAACCGTTATTTACCATAAATGCTGAAACAAGCATATATATACACTTAGCAGAAAGTTGTCTTAAGTTCCCTACTTTATTGCAAAGTTATTCTGGGCCCTTGACCAAAGTTTTCTCCGCTACTTCTTTTCTTCCTTGTTCTGTGTTCACCCCTTATTTCCAGATTAGCAGTAAATTATTATTATTATACAGGATTTATATAGCGCCAACAGTTTGTGCAGCGCTTTACAATATAAGGAAGACATTACAATTACAGTACAATTTAAGACAAGATGGTAAGAAGGGCCCTGCCCCTGAGGGCTTACAGTCCAAAAGGGAGGGGGAAGTGATACATGAGGGGGTAGCTGTGTGGGGATGAATTGTTTGAGAAAGTGATATTTCAGTGGTCAGGTTGAGGTGGGATAGGCTTCCTTGAAGAGATGAGTTTTAAGGAATCGCCTAAAGGCAGTCAGAGTGGGAGATAGACGGACTGGTTGGGGTAGAGAGTTCCATAGGATGGGAGAGGCTCTAGTGAAGTCCTGGAGGCGAGCATGGGGAGGAGTTGATGAGGGAGCTGGAAAGCAGAAGGTAATTTGAAGAGTGGAGGGGACGGTTAGGGTGGTACTTTAAGACAAGGTTCGAGATATAGCCGGGGGCAGAGTTGTGAATGGCTTTGCAAGTGGTTGTTAATATTTTGAACTTTATCATTTGGGATATTGGGAGCCAGTGCAGGGATTGGCAGAGGGGGGTTGCAGACACTGAGTGGTTGGTCAGGTGGATGAGTCTAGCAGCTGCATTCATGATAGACTGAAGGGGGATAGCCTGTGTAGTGGAAGGCCAATGAGGAGGGAGCTACAATAGTCAAGACAAGATATAACAAGTGAGTGGATGAGTCATTTTGTGGTTTCATCGGTGAGGAAGGGGCGTATTTTGGAGATGTTATGCAGGTGGAGATGGCAGGATTTGGATAGTAAATGACCAGTTTGTGGATGCCCAGTTACTAGCTGAGGGTGCCTTTATTATACTTACAATATCAACGCAATACAGCCCATGCATTAAGTAAATTATATGTATAAGGCTGGTACACCAAAGATTTGTAGCTCTATGATTATGTGAGTAACTGCTATACCTGCGTATTACATGATGCCATGCTGCATTTATACTAATAAAAAACTATTTCAGCTTGGTGAGGTGAATACATGCCATTTTGAAGTAATATTTAATTTAGAGAGAATATTTTGGAAATGACTTCATGTGTATATACAATGGCAGGTGTTTTGTAGCCTGACCGTCAACGCTTAAAAATTAGTCTATTTGCTAAGAAGAAATAAGCAATGATCAGAAAGCTTTGAAATAAAGTAAATATTTAATCTACTTTTACCAATATTTTATATTGTTCTTGATAAAGATTGGTAAATGTTACCCTTTAAAAGAATGTCCAGTCTAAATTGTCCTCTTTTGTCAACCCAGCCGAACACTGACGGGAAATCAAGCAGCAGAAATAGAGAACACAGGGTAGTACAGTATACATCATAACAGGCACTCATGGGCCTGAGCAAAGGGCATCAGGGCAAGAGAGGCAACACCAAAGTGTCCTACTGACCTTTTGGTAATGTTCTGTTGTGGTTTTTATGTGTTTAACATCTACTGTAGTGACAATTCAGACAAAGGACACAAGCGTGCTGCATAATATCATATTTATAGATATAGATATATATAAATATATATATATATATCTATCTATCTATATATATATATTTATTTAACATTTAAAAGGAATACAAAATTGGCTCCAGACACATCTTTAACCAACATGCATCAACATTATGAATGTGCACACATCATGTAATGGTATACATGGTATTCACCACAGTATGTCACATTGTTGCCAACAAGCTAGACAATATACAGAGTATGGTGTGGCCTAATCAGTAATCAAATATAGTGCATGTTCATAGACATAGCAGGGGCTGTGCTACTCTTGTAGGTTTTGTAATTTGTTACTGTTTTCTGGTGCCACCAAATTGGATTTTGCATAATCATGTGTTGTTATTGGTACCTGGGAGCTCAGATGTGGATTTGGATACACAACTTAGCAAACTTGTTCCTCAGTCTTTGCATCATGATCTGATCACGTATGAAAATCATGTCCTTACAGTTCAGTTCATTCGCTGTTTAATCCTCAGTTTGTGTCTGATTAAGACAGATGGAATGGTCAGTGGATACAGCTGGTTCCTTGACATAGTTTCATAGTGGAACAGAATGGAGCACAACCCTACAGTTTAGCTGGTGGTCCTATGCCATGAGTAGGCGTATTTGTGTACTCCAGCATAGTAATTTATGTGTCTCCTTTACATTACTTAGCAGTGTCAATGATGTTTATTTAAATAAAAAAGGTCTAGTGATTGTTCTCCTAGTTAGTGGATAGACAAAGAAATAGTCTTTAAACAGTTTATTACTTGTTTCCTGTAACTCCGTAACTGAGTTATACTTTCATTCTGCAGACTGAAAATTAAAGTATAATTAAACTCTCTTTTTTTTGCATATATCTACTGCTTGCGAGCAGTAGATAAATGCAAAAACATAAAAAATAATAAAAAAGTTACCAAAAAGGGTTTTACTTACCTGTGTCTGCCCCGCTCGCTCCCGTCCGAAGATCTGAAGATTCTCGAACAGTATGATGGGGCGGGCGGATGCACAGTAGAGATCTTCGGCCGGGAGAAGAGGAGAGATTCAGTGTAAGTCAATGCACGCAATCTGGCACGTGGACAGACTCCATGGGACACAGAAGACAGAGCAGTCTGCCTTGTGTTCTGGTTCCAGCTTCCTCAGCCTATCTGATCTAGAGCCTTCTTGATCCACTTCGGTGCATCCATATCCTGCTTCCTGCTGGGATCTACGCACTTCATCTCATCTCGCAGACGCAACATGCTAACTAGCCTCTGGCACCCTTGCCCCTCTGTGCCCCGGCACCCCTGTACCCAATCCAGATGCTCCGGGACAGGAGCTGTGAGAGAGGCCGCCCTCGTCAACTCAGACTCCCCCAAGGTACATGACAGGCACTCAAGCTGCAACACTCACTTTTATTCCCAGCTGTTCCCCTCAGTACTTCACCACAAGATGTCCTCAGGCTTTAGGTTTGAATGATGCCAAGTGTCACTCATCTCAGAAGACTGAGGATGTACTGTGAGTGCAGTGCATGAGAGGGTCCCTATGACACCCTTCTTTCACACTGTACTGATGCAACGATGACTTAATCACGTGAGTGCCTATCTCTAAATCGGTGAAGATCATCAAGCCTATAAAAGAGTTGAGGAAGAAGAGGAGTCTGCAGAATTACATAACCAGTCTAAAAAAGGTAAGTACATAAAAATCAAATACTGAAAAATACTAAAGGGGGGGCACAAGGAGGGAGTCAATTTGAGAGGGGGGCTTTTTCTTTGTCCATTCAGAGCAAAATAACAGGTTCTGTTCACAGCCAACCATCTGAACTTCTCGGTTCTCCACCAACATCTGTTGTCATGGATGTACCTATTTGGTGACTGGCTAGCTCTTATCCATATTATAGCAGTAGCAGCAATGAAAAGAATGAGCACAAGAAAAGGAAACATGACCGATGTTGCCTTAGAAAAACATAAACTAGGATGACATACAGTAACTGAAGATATTTCAAAGGTTAAGTGGCAATGACATTGATGAGCACCATAGCATCTGGAGGATGGATGCCATTTCTTAAAGATGAACCGTGGGTACAGCTTAGTGAAAGGAACACTTTTGGGTGTGGGTTGATTCTGGGATGAGTCTGCCCTGCAAATGGGATTAGCTAATGATTTTGTGCCAACTGCTTCTAAGTGTGCCTGCAACTATGCATGCATGCCTGCATTGTGTATTTAATTAAATAACATTCTTGCATAATATGAAAGCAATGTGTTAATCCTGTCAACATGTTTGCATAATGTGTAACATGTTTTCATACAATTAGCAGAACCGTTTTCTTTTCTGTACAATAATATTTTGGTGTGCCAACCCAGGAGCACAACCGGGAAAACAGAGACAGAATTGTCACCCTATAACAAGAAGTGCCTGAACAAGGCACTTTATGACACTAGGTATTATTTTAACAAAATATTTAAAATATTAAAAATGATTTTTGAAATCACACTAATAAGTTAAAGGTTATATGAGAATTTGGTTTCCATATCCTTTTTAGCTGACATTGCTTAAAGGATATGTAAATAAGTTATTTTTGCTGAAGTATTGCACAGCAAAGGGAGAAAAAAAGAGATCACTATGATTAAAAAAGTAAATATTAAAATAATTTAGTTTTACAAAGATTAATTCCTATCAGTAACTGATGTTTCAGGGAGCCAAGCTCAATTCACTGAATCAGTATATGCATGACTTGTTTCATGTAAAATAGAGTGGGGGCAGGTGGTCTCTGATTTCGGGTTCTTAGTGCTCTAAAGGACTCCTCTAGTTGTTCACTATGTAAAAACAAAATAAGTTAATTAACATAAAAAAGTATAGAGGCTACCATTGCTGGCCCTCTTTATTTATCTAGTTCTCTAACTGCATCTGATGTCAATACTTTTGAGTCATTTCCCCAGAATAAGCATTGAGTGTCAAAAAAGTGTCAGAATTCCTTTTCACTATGCTTGTTCCAGAACAAAGACGTAACCAATGTAATTTCAATAATAAAGGGGGGAAAAAAAGAGTATAAAAGAAATATAGAAACACAAGTTTTCAGATTAAAATAGATGTCCTTGAGTGGCAACATTTGTTTTTAGTGAGTCTAAATTAAACATCTAAATAACATGACATGTATTTTAAAATGCGCAGTCAAATGGAAAACATCTATAACTGGAACACAGCAACATAAGCTTTAACATTATTGAAATTAATATTTTACACACCTTGACAAAGAGACAAAATAAACATTTTGGTAAAGAATGGTTCGAAAATGTAGTTCTCTTGATCAATATGCCCCGTTGGTGTGTGGGATGGAGACTTAAAAAGTACATCACCCTTTTTCTAGTTTATCTAAATCAAAGAATAAGAATATACTATATCACAGTTTACCAGTTCCTAGATGTAGTGGCTGCATTAGTACTCTGAAGCTTCTATTTGTTTATGTTCACCTGGTAATCCTGCCAGTAACATATTTCTTGGCCTAGTATGACAACGCTCACGCACCATACTGTATCTATGGAGGAGCAGTGTTGTCACCCTGGGACAGAGCAACAGAAACTCTTCCCCTCTCTTGTGCCTTATAACATAGAGAGTGGGGGTTTTGTAGTCCTCAGAGAAGTCGGGTAACAATGTAACTGATAAGGCTGAAACACAGGCGGACATAGCAAAAAGTTACATCAGCTGACAAGATTTGTGGCAGGATCAACAGGTGTTTTTTTATACTTATTGAACAGATATAACAAAATATTTTTAAATATATAATTAACAAATCAAAAGTAACTAAAAAGGAGAAGTTTACTGTTACAGATTACAAACCTAAACTGTCTCTAAAAACAGTCCTGTGAGAAGTGGGAAGTGCTGGACTTCAGAGAGTAATGTCGCCACTAATGTACATTCCCAGTTTGCGATAATGAAACCAGATTTGATTCTGTTACCTAATTTCCTCTATGTTTTCCTTCTTGTCTCTTCCCATTTTACAGTCTGTCTATACAGTATGTATGTAAATAAGTGTAACAAGTCATCTTAATTAAAAAAACAATTCATCACCACCTGTCTAATTATACACGATTCTCATAACAAATCTTCTTAAGCCTCTACTACGTAATTAGTTCCTCCTCTAAGCTATTTTGATTATAACTGGTCTGACTAGGTAATTATGACTGCATAGTCATTGCAGTTATGGAATATAAGCTTTTATTAGAAACTGCCAAGTCTCAGCCCAAGGGGAAGGCAATAATGAGCATACACATCAGTGTTTTTTGGTGCGAATACTTGTACCCAATATGTGTGCTTCTTTAGGGGTTAAATAAGTGTTGGGGTTTAAGTAAATGCTGGCCATACATGTAACACTTTTCAGGTAATTTGAACCACTTTCAACCAGCTTTTGATCTTGAAAATAATCAAAAGTGTGAAAGAATAGAGTCAACTTACCAATGAATTTTATTGACTTGCAATCTACGACCAATTTTGTGGCTTAACCCCTTCATGACTGAGGCCCTTTTTTCATTTTTTGCACCCATGTTATATTCCACATTTTATTAATACAATGAAAGAATAATTGCGATCAATTATAAACAGATGGAAAACAGGAAACCCATCAACTATTCTGATAGCTATTGGATTTTCCACCATGTTCAGTAGAGATTTCTCAATTATAATGAAACTGAGATTTTTGGTTGGATTTTTTCATGTGTGGGCAGCCTAGAGGCTAGTTTACGGTTAGTGTAAGGGTCAAGGGATAGGGGAACTTTAGTTAGGGCTGTAGTTTAGAGGTAGTTATATTATGTTTAAGGCCCCATTCACACTGAACGATTTTTGCAACGATATCGCTCATATTTCCACGCGATATTGCTCTATGTAGCTTCTCCAATCCATTTCAATGGAGCTGTTCACATCTCGTTGCTCAATATCGCCTGTAGCTCATCGCTGTAGCTTGTCGCTCCCTTTTTTCGCGCGATTTTGAGCGATTTTGCTCCTGATTGCATACAGCATATAGGAAAAAGTTGCGCAATATCGCTCAATATCGCTCCTATAACATTGCGCGGAAAATCGCGCGATTTTCATGTCACTCAGTGTGAATGGGGCCTAAGGTGTGGACAGGGAACATGTGTCCTGTTCACACTATAAATGAATGGTTGTGCGCGTGTGTGGTGGCAGTCACTGCATTGGCATATTTTACACCAGCCCAGACTTGAGCTTTAAGGATTCCATAAAGAAATATTGTACTATAAGTGATTTGCTAAGGTTTAAGTGTTGGAAACAGGGTAACTTTTAGAGGTAGGGTAGAAGTCAGGGACATGTACATGTTTTTTTCTAATACTATAAATATAAGTGTTTACTATTGTATTTAATTGCATTGACTGCAATAAAACAAACACCTAACACAGGTTCTAAACCTTCCTAACTCTATCCAAACACTAAAAACAGTTGTGAGAGATTTCACTTTAATTTCTGTATATTGACTTTACAATTTTCCCATCACAAACAGCATCTAGTTTGGTAGGTTTTTCACTTGGGTGAACCTTTCTTAAAGTGGACAATTTTTCAATTTAACTTAATAGGAAACAGCAAGATTCACTTCTTGAGTATTTTCTTATTCAATATTTTTAGATGTCCAGGCTATGCTAGTTTTAGTAGAACTTTAATGACGTCCTAAATCATTTTCAGATACTGTATAGGAATCTATAATGGCCCTCATTATACATAGTATACAATGTAAATGCCAACAAACATAATTGGTAGCATATTGCCATTATTTGTATGAGTAGGACTTTGATTAATGCACACACATTTGTGTTGTGCCTTAAAGTACCTGCCCCAATTTACCACATTATCATTCCTGTCTCTGCCCACATGACTATTAACAACGTGGCATGCACACCTGCCAAAAAATCTTGTGACCTGTGTTATCACTTCTAGAACCACATGGGATGCCTGTGATGATACAGGTTCCTTAGTGTCAGGCTGCTAAAGATGCTTCTCTGTGTGTATACTCTGCCTAGAAGCCTACATAGCCAAGCTCATGTCATACATTGTCCCTTATCAGAAAGGACAGAACTTTTGGCCACCATTGGGTTTAGTCCATTATGGGAACAGCTTCCTGCACAGCCAATCTCATTCACAGCTTCTGAGAACCCCTGCATGTCTCTGTAAAGACTGTTTTCTTGCTGTACAGTACACTGTCAAAACGTAGATGAGGCATACCTGTATCCATAGAGAAATAATGACTTCATTCAGATTCATTCAAAACAACAGCAACAGCATTTAGCAAATACACTTCACGTAAAACGAATATACAGTATATACTGTATGTAGTTAAGAAAAACTACAGCCATTACTGTTTAGGGTCCCATGTCTCTAACTGTCATATATATGTGATAGAATTAAAAGCGAAAATGGAGCTGTGTGTGGCTACTCCACCTCACCAAGGTTTAGCTGGTGATAGTGGGGGCAAAATAGAAATAACATGGTTAATGTTGCTGGTTTAGGAGGCCAGCTAATCTTCATGTTAGTATTGTCCTAATTTAAAAAAAATATATTTTTAATAGGTTATTCTAAGAGCCATTAGAAGCATTAGAATCTCTGTTTTTATTGTTGTCTATGTCCACATTAGGGAGATTTTCCATTACTTCGTGCCCTGTTGACAACAAAAAGTTCTGTAGTTGGATTTTACCAGTTCTACTATTAGAAACTATGAAACGTTTTTGTTTAGACTAGGCTGCTTTGATAAAGAGGGTGAAGAGCCAAAGGGCCATTGAACATTGTGACCGTTGTACCCATCCAACAGTATTATATAAAACACATTTCATTTAACGTTCTGACTTGTTTAGATGAATAACAAATAGCTGTCACTATGTAAATATATTCTTCATTAGTACATTCTACAAAGATGGTAATTATTATTATTATTATGATGGATTTATATAGTGGCAACAGTTTGCTCAGAGCTTTGCAAAATAAGGAGGACATTACAGTTACAATACAAATAAAGATAAGATGGCAAGGAGGGCCCTACCACTCTACCTATTTGTAGAGTGAATATGTAAAGCCTACATACCTGTTATGCTTCAGTGGGTAAGACCATTTCCATGTCAATGATACTTCTTACTACCTATACCATCCAACAGGCAGCTGTTCAATGTGCGATTTAATGTATGTGATGCCTAGGTTTTGCGTGTAAATATCCATAGCAAAACATTACTCCACCCTGTGACCTGTGACTCTATCCCAATGGCTTGCTCACTCACTCCCATACAACATTGAGAAGCTGCTTGGCTGGTTCATCCTGTCCATAAATATTTTAAATGCTGGTAACTACCATCATTTATGACATTTCAAGAAACAAGGAAAATTAGTAATTGTAGAGTTCATAAACCACAGGAATCTTATATAATATGGCAGTAAAATGGCAATGATAATATGCAAAGTATGCAAATTCTGATTCTGTGGGTTCAGCTATACCAGATCATAAGGCAGGGCTTGCTAGATGTCTGGACAATTCTTAAGATGAACAATCCTTTGTGTGAAAAGTATTTTGTTTTTCTTAAAAACAAATATTTAAAAAATTCGTATGAAACAAGATGGTGTTGAAAGTATTCTTCCAAGTACCGAAACTACTTACATATATTGTGTAGGACTGGCTATCTTAATATAATTCCTCACCTAACATAACATTTCAATGGTATAGCTCTTGCTATTGATATGTTTAGAGGCAGCCTTTTTTTTAATGTGGATAACATTGACTTTTAATTTTTGAATAATCTTATCATTTTCATTAGAAGACATTTGGCTGGTTATATTTGGCTTAATCCTTCTGTTGATCTGATGTCTGGTATGGGACTCGGGTGAGGATCAGAAAATGTTTGGGTGCTACTTGTGGTAGAAGCAACTTGTTGAAAATCCTTTCTTCTTCTCATTAAAATGAAAGGCAGAAGTGAACTAGATGTGTGCAGATGTTGAACATATTGTGCCAGTACAGTGGTGGGTCTTGAGGCTACTAAGAACAGGAAAATTACTCCCTGCCCATAATCATGGGATTAACGTGTGGAACTGGAGGCAGCAATGGCTCAATGAAATGTAGGGTCTTAAGGGTGCCATACATGTGAGATGACTGTTTCCCAATCCAGGTAACTTCAGCCAGATTGGATAATAACTGTCATGATTTAAGAAAGGCAAAAACTTAAAATCTGGCACCTTATTCTAGAGAACAGAGATCAAATTTAATATAACATCAAAAAAGTCCCACAACAATAAGTCGTCTGTAATTATTTTTTTTCATAACAGTGTACAAACTTTGATACATCATGCCGATGAGTTTCAACCTACCAAGAGGTCTTAGTCATAGGTGAGTGACCAGGTCACATGACCGTCAAAATACTCTTTTTCACATGCAGATGAGTAGGATAGAGGATAATATGCAAATCAGTATAAAAACCATTAAAACCCAATGCCTGGGTACCGGTAACACATTGAACAATCCAACAAAATGATACCTAAGAAAATGACCTAACACAAATGATTGTATCTAATGGGCAAATTAACATCCCATCAATGATTTGAACCCAAGGGCATCCTGGAGCAGAGCTTAAAAATCCAAAACACTTCCCATTCCAGGAGCCCTCAATACCAATGTCCCTCAGGTGTAAAAAGAAAATCTCCTGTAAGGGTCATGGTCAGGCAGCTACAACTAAGGCCTCTTTGTAGTTTTAAATGCATCAGAATAATGCACCAAAGTGTATGTATCATATGGAATAAAGTTAATTACAGAATGTTTTAAATGTTGTATGCAGAAACTTAGATGGAGCTTAATGAGGCATCGTATTTTCCCATGTCATGATCAGAAAGTGGAGCAGATATCTGTAAAGTATTCAGTTTATTAAACAAATATTGGGTGCTGTTCAGATTTTGGCATATGTCTCAAGAAATTGTTTAAGAAACCAAACACACACAATTTAGCATATATTATATTATAATACAAAATTTATTAAAGTGTATCGTAACCTTATAGTGAATCTGTGCTTTACCCATGAAGGGCAAACAACAGGTTTACTTTCATGCCTTCCCTGCTGCTGCACACATACTCACCTTCCTTTTGCGTCTCTGCTGCTCTGATGGGCCCATAGGAGTGAAGATAATTAGTCCTGTATAAGTAGCAACCATGACCATCACTGTCACTTGGGAGGAAGGGAAATAAGTTATATGCTCCTCACATCGGGAAGTACCAGGTATTTTATTTTTAGCTAATGGAGCAGCAGGGGAGTTAAGGGAATATATAAAGTATCAGAAGCTAAAGGCTGAATTTTGGAAACAATAAGGGCTCCATGTTCTTATGGTTTGTATTAATTCATGCAGACTATCCTTTACTATATCTGTTAATTTTCAGTACAGAACAAAAGTATTTGTATATATTCATTATTTACTAGTTATATTACTATGACCATGATTGGTGCTAAGCTCTAATTTTGTATGGTAATATAAGAATATAAATCAAGTTTTAGGGAATGGGCAAACAACATCACAGGCTGAATGGTTGGCAGAATTAGATATTTTTGTTGTAAAGTGCACTTATCCTTTAATTAGGTGTGTGTGGACAGGGTAATGGCATCCAAAGCAGATCCGTGGCATCAGAAAACCGGAGGGAGACATTATTCAAAATGAGGCCAGTTAATAGACAGGGGCTGTTAGTAAGTGATAGTGCAGTCCCAGAATGCATGCTACCTGTAACCAAAGAGCTGTCAAAAGCTCTACGAATCAGATGAAACTACCAGCGGTGGACTGTCTGTGCACTGGAAAAAAAAAAAGTGGGAAAGGTCTCTTTTAAAGCGATTACACGTATCAAATGCACAAATACATATAACAATACAAATGAAATATATATACAGGGTTTATATATATATATATATATATATTATGGTGCCTTTAAAATGTCATTTTGCTTTTTTTTTTTACATTTAGAAATGTTTTGTGCTGGCCATTTTTGGAGGAATTATCCATCATTTGGTACCAAATCCCCCGGCTTCTTTTTCCCTTTGAGTTGTCCCTCTTTCTGGTCTGATACATAGACTCCTATAAAAAAATACATTTTATTACCAAAGTGCTTCTTACACCAAAGTGTTTATGCGCTGGCCATTTTGTTATTAAAAATACAAACCTGAAAGGTTCTCATTTTTCCCCACTGTGGCTAGTAACATTCTAACTGTACCTCAATTGGAGGGACTGACTGCCATTTGAAGGAACTGTCCATTATTTGCCATTGCCAGCAAAATGTTGTGCTGAAAGGTGTTCTTCTTGTTCAACTAAGAAAGTTGAGAGGTATACAATGAACATTAAATATTATATACAATTTTATACTTGATTTAAAAAAGTAAACAACATATTTTAAAGAATGATTTCTACACCTAAACTTAGAACATTCAGAAAAAAGTAACCAACCACAAGAAGGCAACATTACACTGACTGTAAATGTCTCCTGTCTGACAGTTTTTGTGATGTTTTAAAATCAGAAAGTGAAAAATATTATAATACAAAATAGTAACAACTATTTCTACATTAAAGGAGAACTATGGGGTCAGGGCTTTTCCCCATAGTTCTCCTTAGGGTAACGGGAGGACACAAACTAGCGTCCTCCCGTCACCCTAAGCTCAGTATACCGCGAGCTACAGCTCACGGTATAAAGAGACGCCGCAGCCGGAGCGGATCCCGACATCGATGTCTGGATCCGCCCAGCTGTGTGAGTGACAGCTGGCTCTGCCTATCTAGAGGCAGAGCCAGCTGTACCCGTCCCCTCCCCCGTCCGTTCCGCCAGTCAGCGTTGGCGGATCGGAGCGGGGAGAGGGGAATCCAGCCCCTCCCCTGTCAGGGCAGAGAGCTGTGACAGGATCGAGAGGTGAGTGAACCCGGTATGTGTTCGCTCACCTCCCGATCTACTGAGCCGACCTATGACAGTCTCATTGTCACAGGTCGGCTAGAACTATGAGGTGAGTGAAAAGCACTCACCTCATAGGTCTCCTTTAAACTTTATTCATTAGGAAGAAAATGATAAATTGACCACATGAGGGCAGCATAACACTGACTAGAATGTCTCCTGTTGAACATTTTTAATTGTGATGTTTTGCCATGAGGAAATACCTGCTATGTCTACATGCAGATAGTCCCATGATGTGAAAAAGGTGTAAAGTTGTGGTGCAGGTATGAGGAAAGCCAAAAAAAAATAGTAAGTTCTGTTAAGGAAATGTGCACCGAATAACCAGTCCTTTTACTGAAGCCACTGGAAGCCAAGGATTGAGGTGCTGGGAGGGATTGAACCTTACCTTTAGGAAAGGATTATTGCAGACAGAAGAGAGGTTAGTAGAAAAAAAAAAGTAAGGGGGGTGCACACACAGTAGGGAACCTTTTAATCCAACCATTAAACTTTGCTGAAGATGGGCTTTAACTCTGAACTCTGGGCACAAAAACGTTCATCTAAATATTTCCTCAATAACCACAAAGGATATACTGTAAATATACTTTATGTGTACCAAATGCCTTTGCAAACCCAGATACTACCTAAAAATAGCGGTGACATCATCACTGTGCTGTACGAAGCCTGAGCAGAGTTGTGGGAGGAGCCCAGCAGGCTCCACCCTCTACAGAGAGTCTGCAGAAAACTACAGCAGAGGGCAGAGACCAGACCAGTCACCCTGCACATGGAGATAGGAAAGCAGTGACCGGTCTTTATTACAGGAAGCTCCTGCACAGAGGCGAAGTATCACAATGGATTACTGCACAGATCTGGAAGAAATACACAAAGCACACCAAGATTCAAGTAAGAATACACATGGTTCTTGTGTATAAACAATATGTGAATGTCCTGGAGTTCAACTTTAAATGTTGATAAATCGATACGTGTTAATGCTTGAAAAATGTTGTGTCTAAGATCATACACTGAAATGCCTTAGTACACACCTTGACCCTAGATTTGTGGGAGTGATGCTCATTGTTGCTTAGTAGACATGTGCGATTCGTTTTGGAAAGATTAGTTATTCGGACAAATTTTCGGAGATTCGTAAGACAGAAATGACGAATGAAAACGAATCTGAATTTCGGTAGAAATTTGTTAGCGGTAGTCTGTACGAATCTTCGTTTCTGGACA